TTCAAAACTGTATTAAGTGCAAGTAGTTCAGCTTTATACCTTTAAAATGACTACTTGCGCACCTCCATACGATTTTTCTACAATTTATGGTGATTTTTACAAAATTTCCTATCATTTCAAGAGCAAATCCGGACCAGTCTGTGATTATGGACTTTTTCACACAAGTTGGAGGTCATTAAAAATCATAATAAAATTTATGAACAAACTAGACTCATTTCTCAAACTCTCAGAATTTACGGATTCTGATTTGGACCTTTGATGATTTTTTCTATGAATTTTCTAAGAACAGTAATAGAAATGTTAACACTAGAAAAATGCTATCAACTTCATTTGCACCTTGTAACTTGTTAAGCAAGGTGTGTATCGTTATGTGAATATATGTTTTTACATTACATGTCATTTCGTCTTGGTGTATTGGCATCCATCAGAAAACAAATGGATTTTTACCTTCATAAGTATGGTAATTAATTAGTTGTTATATTGCATGTTATTTCACTTTAGTAAAAGGGTATATATACTTATCAGTAAACAAAAGGGTTTTTACCCTTACAAATACAGTAGTTAACCATAGTAAACAAAGTTATAACTATTACATTTAAACGTTTTGATAAACTATAATAGGTATGGTTTATGTTTCCACTAACACAACAAACACATTTCGGAAGGTTTTATTCCCACAGAAAAAGGTTTTACTCTCACGCACACCACACGTAAACTTGTTAACTTAAATTGTGAGATATTCTTCTCAGTACTCCTAGAGTACGGGTTAAAATTCCTGGTAGTTATAACCAAAGTCTCTTGTAGAGAGAACGTGATACTTGTGTATAGATCTATATTGGGTTTGACACCCCACACCTTGCTGCTAGCTACAGTGGAACCTGCAGGTCTACGGGTGACAAGTGTCATAACATTTTTCGACGCCTGAGAAACGTCGTGGCATGTTCATTCGGTCATAGTATGGTTATAGCGACTCACATTACGGGGATTTTTGTATAAATAAAAAGGGGTTTTATGTCGATTTAAAATCTCTTTATATGTGTGTATGTGTGTGTGTATATATATATATATATATATATATATATATATATATATATATATATATATATATATACGGATATTACTGTACACTTTCGGTCTTGGTATTGAAGACTACACATCATTCATTACGGGATTTTCCTCAAATCAAAAAGGGTTTTATGCCGATTTAAAACCACTTTTATATCTTTAAGTATGGCAAATACTTGTTTATTCTCGGTCCTAGGATTTAGGACCGCATAACTTTTATAAGGAAAGTAATGGATTTTTCTTGGTAACAAACAACACATTAAAAAGAACGGTTTCCAAACTCTTTATTTAAAAAGCTTGTGAACTCACCAACTTAATTGTTGACATTTTTTCAAAACTACTTGTATTCTCAGGAAAACAGTGAAATAGGAAAACCAACAACGTTTTGAGGATGGGACATTAAATCGTCAAACAATTCATTTTGTCATCATAATGTAATTTATTTGAATGGTGTAACTTTTTCAATTATAGTTATGATGGCTGTATTTACTTTGATCACTATTATACTCTTTGTTGTGATACTATACATGAAGTCCTCCACCCCTGAACGTTTCCGCCATCCTTGGTTTGGGGGTGTGACTTCCAGCGTATGTAGTTGGATGCCTTCCTAAATCATTAAGTTCTTAATACTTCAGCCCTTATGTCCAAATTATAGATATAAGCCCCAAATGTTGTCTTTGACCATAAAGTTTCCAACTTTATGGCCTTGAATGGCCACTAAGTGCTTAACAATAAAAACCATAACTACTTAACCCATTAAGACCTTGTAACTCATGCATGGAAGGGAAATAATGACCAAGACCACATTTTCATGCTTTTAAACACCTCAAAACGTCTAAAAGGACAACTTAAATGGTTGGAGTAGCTCATACTCAAAATACCAAACTAATAGGACAAAAACGACACAAACTTCATGTCTAACTTAGATCTAAGCATAACTACATCAAGTTTAAAGTTTTTACCTCCAAATGATGTCAAATGGTGTTGCTATTATGGATCCAAAGAGTCCCACTCCTCCAAGATGATCTTATCTTCTTCCTCTCTCCTTCAAAGTAACCAAAACAGCGACACAAAGCTCATGAGTGCTCAAAAATGGATTAGAGTTTGTTTGTGGACGAAGGTAGGTTTGACGCTAATGAAATAAGGTAGGTTGGGAACTTAAAGATGTTTAAATAGGGTCCAAACCCTAAAAATTAGGGTTTAGGGATCATGCATGTACGCCCTGCGTACGCTAGGTATGCCTATCGTATGTGACGGTGGGCCAAAAATTACAAAAATGCCACTATGGGCCATTTTGCAACATTTCTCATACACAATGGTTAAAATACAATAAATCTTAATATTAGGGTTTAAATTAGAAATACATCATCATCGGAATATATTACACACATACACAAATGGCAATTAATGTAATTTACCATACTCTATCTTCTTATTTATCAAAAACATCCCTCTACTTGCTATATTATAAACATTCGTAAGTATAAAATTATTATAATAATAGGAATTTGCATCATATATTTGAGTTGAGAGTTGCATTTTGTTGGTGTCTTGGTAAATTAGTTGGAAAATATATATATTTTTCTATATTTAAGAAATAGATCAAATGTATATAAAAAAATAAAGTTTTCATTGAGATACGCTTTGATATAAGTGGATTTTAAATATTTTATTAATTTCTGATTTTTTTTTTTCTTTAGAATTTGTCAATTTGGCACGTGAAATTCAATCTATTACAAAATATTTTTGAAAACCTGAATAAATTGAATTTTTTTTACGTGAATAGAAGTATTTAATAAATGATATATAAAATGGTTTATGGGGTAAGTTATATATTTATCTAAGTTTTAATATTTATTATGAAAATTCATCGACTCAAACGATATTTCGCTAAAATAACTCTAGTAAACTTAATATTAATGACGTTTACGAATATACACTATGATTCCATCTTTAATCATCAACTCAAAAAGATTTGAAAAGTTTTTTTTTTAATAATCTGATCCAAAACCAATTTTCACGTGGAACCGACTGGACCGAACCGATAAAAAGAACGGACCGATTTTGATCAATTCCTAGAACTACGAACCGGCCCGGGATCCAAAAAGGGTCAAGGTCCGGTCTTGTCCTATCAACAAGTCCAAAGTACTCACCCCTACACCAGATGTTGTTCACATTTGTGATCTATAGCCAGCTAGACCACGAACGTCTTCATTGTATCTACTCGAGTTGGTCTTAAAACATGAAGAAAACTATATTGCATTGGTTCATGTAAGACATAAAAGATGGAGAACATGGGTGGAACATAACACATTCATTAGTTTCAAGGGGCGGAACAGAAACTTCATAATTAACTAAGAGCAAAATAATAATTAACAAATAGATTTTTATAAACAAATTAAAAGTAAAAAAAATAAATTAATTCTAATATTACTACTACAACATCTTTTATTTTATTTACTTATTTTGCTTGTCCTACAAACAAATTATCTATACGTATAACTTTTTTTATATTTCACAAATTTAACAAAAAAAAATATTATGTTAATTAACAATTTACGTGTAATAAACAATAACAACTCCGAATTGTTTTCATAACCTTACATAATCTCTTTTTAAATATATATAAAATTTATAATTGACTGTATCGCACGAAAATAAAAACAAACAAGACTTACGGCTAGAAAAACTCGACATTAATTTTATAAGAAATTTCTTTTTAGTTTCAATGTTTAGAAAAACAAGACTTACATAATCTATTTTATTTTTCTTTTAGTGAATTCAGGAGCAAGAGTGTAAGAGACGAAACGAGAACCTTTTAAAAGGGGTTGGCTAAAAAGACATCCTATATTGCAATATGAAAAACAACCAGACTTCTATGTTTCCAATACCAAAATAGAAAATCTATACTAATTTTCTTTATAAACTAAATTGGGAGGAACGGAAAACAATGGAAACGAAGACCATCTCTCTGTGTGTGTGTGAATTCGGGAGCACAGTGTAAGAGACGAAGGCAGAAAATACAAATAAGAAAAAAAAAAACAAACTTCTATGTCTCGAATATCAAAATATAAAATTTTGGAAATTGCAGTCAAATTGGCAAATACTTGAGAATATGGTTCACCTTTAAGAATTATAAAATATTCAAAAGTTAGGTCATTTGTTTATAGATATGATCATAGTTTTCAAAATTGCAATTCTGATCGTAAGTCTTACGATCCTACGATCTTTGGTATGAAAAACGAGTCAAATCATAAATGGATCGTATTTTGGGTAGGATCGTAGGTAAAATCGTAAGATCGTAGGTAGGATTGTAGGATCGAAATCCGATCCGATCCTATCTTCCATTGATTTTTGCAAATGAGACTTTTTTTTACCACTTTGTGTCTTTACCTTTTTTCAATTTATCATTTATTATTTTGTGTTGTGACTTATGTCTAATATTTTGAAGTTTTTATATCGTTTGAACAAAAAATGGAATGTTTAAAATATTTTTTATGTTTTAAAATTATAAATTAAAATTATGCTTTATTTTGGAGATCTTAAGATTTCGATCCCGATCTTGCAAACCTAAAAACGATCGTAAGTAGGATCCCGATTTCATAACCTTGCATATGCTCACAGTTTTTTGTGATTATCCTTAATTATAGCCACTTTATTTTTATGAATAGTATGGATTAAAATTAGAGCATCTCCTTCTAATGATTAATATTTTATAAGTTTTTCTTAAAATTAATTTATCGTTTGTCTATTCTAAATATTTTATAAAATCCTATCATATAATTTATCATCTTTTAATCATATGTCATATTTATAGAATAAAACATTACTTGACATTGAGATATAACTGAATAAAAATAACTACGTGAGTTTTTTTCTCCGAATATATAAAATATAAAATACTATCTCAATATTTTGGGTTCTTGTCAACATATCTAGATTTTGAAACGCAAAAGAGCCGAAGTGCCATCAAGTCCCTTCGAGTTAAAATGCTCATGATATTCCTTCACCGTTGTGCTTCTATATTTCACAGGATTTTCTTCAGAAATCAACTCTTTAATCGGCTCACACACCATCGATGTTTGAAGGCTTCCAGTCGTAAAGAACGATGCTAGTGACACTCTTGGGCCAATTTTATTTGCCAAAACTCTATGTTGTGCACTAAAAAACTTATCATTTGAAATTAATTGTAAAAGATCTCCAACGTTTACTACAAGAGCTTTAGGATTAGGTGGAATATCGATCCAATGATTTTGATGTAGGACTTGAAGTCCCCCAATTTGGTCTTGTAGAAGAATTGTGATGAAGGTATTGTCCGTATGCGTGCTGGTGCCGATTGCTAACTTAGGTTGCGGGCATGGAGGGTAGAAATGTCCAAGAATTGCGAGACCTTTAGCGCAACCCAATTTGATGAGGTGCTCTGCGTTGAGCTAAAGGGCTTCAGATATTAATTTGAATAAATGAATTCCGAGTTCCATTACTTGTTTTGAGTACTCCATCAAAATATCTCTACAAAAACATCACCTTTTTTTTAGAAAAACCATCTAACATGAATCATATTTGATGTCATTTTGAATTTTTTTTAAAGACTCTTATATTTCAGTATTTTACGTGAAAAATCATTTTAGAAAAACCATCTAACATGAATCCATTACTTGTTTTGAGTATTCCATCAAAATATCTCTATAATTATAACATCATTAAACTTTTTTTAGAAATACCATCTAACATGAATTATATTCAGTGTCATTTTAAGAATTGTTCAAAAGACTCTTACATTTTCAGTACTTTAACTAAAAAATCATTATATATTTTTTTTTCTAAACTTTTTAAGTAATTATTTGATCTGTAGACACATACACTTATATGGACACATTCTGGTGATCTAGTCCCATATGAAAAAAGTCAAGTCCGTAGAACACTCTAAAATGGCCAATTGTCCATTAAAAAACATCCCAATTAGTCCAAAAATAAGCATTTTTAAACGGCTAACAATTCAAATTCTAACTAGTGGAGAACTCATGCTTTGCATGGGTTGTTGTTTTTGTTTTTTTATGTCAAAATGTAAAAGTTTTGATTGTAAGTATTAAAAATGTCAAAATGACTAAAAAGACATTACTATTGGTAAGCTCAATGAGTCAAGGGAACAAAGTAGAAAAGCATTGATATTAGGAACTAAAAGTGGCAACAAACCAAAACTAATGTGGCCAAAATCCAAAATGAAAAAGTTTGATATTAGCGGTTAAAAGTGACAACAAACCAAAACTATTGTGGCTAAAATCCAAATTCCAAAACATTATTGTTGAAATGTTGTTCCATTATATATATATATATATATATATATATATATATATATATATATATATATATATATATATATATATATATATATATATATATATATATATATATATATATAGGGAAAAGTGAATATACCCTTAAGGGTATATAAGCTTAGGTACCCAAACTCACTATGCTACGTTGTTTCGTATCATATAATACGTTCTAATTATCCAATGTTCTTATAATTTAATTTCTAACTTGATTTACTTCCAAAATTTTTAGAATTTACACATTTATCTTCCTCTTACATAATTTCCATTTTCAACTACAATATATATAGCCTAGTAGGTGTTCGGCAAAAATATGTGATGTAAGAGAATGATAATAGTGAAATGTCGAATATCTTGAAAGAAAATCAAGTTAGGGTTGTAGTTTAACAATTTTATAATCAATATATCAAACAATAGGACGTATTATGGTGCGATTGGGTACCTAATATATATATATATATATATATATATATATATATATATATATATATATATATATATATATATACTACCTTATAAAAAAATCATACTATTTTTATAAATAGAATCAATATAATAATAATATTTTTTGAAGACGTTCAAATCTTTAAGCTTAAAGTGCAACCAACTATTAATATAATAATATTATAATATATATCTTACAAATGATAATGCTAGAGATACAAGTATTAAAAACACATTTAAATTAGTATTTCGTTATTTTTAGGGATTGAATTAGTATTTTCATTAATTTTGACCAAACTTGTACTCCTAAAATATCTCTTCTCTGTTATCTGGTGCATTCGAAATCTGAAACACTTCTTTTCGACAAATCGTTTGAAATTTAAAAGGTCATTCAAATTGGAGTTCCTTAATTTTTTAGATAAAATATAGTTGATTGGAAACTAATTCAAACCTTCATCTTCTTTACCTCCATGGAATCCATCACCACAATATTTTTTGGTTTTGGCATTGGACTTTTTATTTTTGTGAAACCGATCGATAATGGTGCAAGTGTTCTTAGAAATATAACATGTCTCCGAATGAAACTAATTGCTTCAAAGAAACTATTCACTGCCGCTGCTTTGCGCGGACAAACGGCTACTATATATATATATATATATATATATATATATATATATATATATATATATATATATATATATATATATATATATATATATATATATATATATATATATATATATATATATAGGGAAATGATCAAATGAGAACACCTAAAAGGTTGAGAACGCGAGAACAAGTATATTCATTTCTGATTCCATGTATTCATTTGTGGAGAAATGATAAATTTTTACGCATAATCAACATGAATATGTTTTTTCTCTTCAATTGAAATTAAATGCGTAAAAATTTATCATTTCTCCACAAATGAATAAATAGAATCGCAAATGAATATACTTTGTTCTCGCGTTCTCAACCTTTTTTTGTTCTCATTTGATCCTACTTATATATATATATATATATATATATATATATATATATATATATATATATATATATATATTTCAAAAGGCCTTTTTTTTGTAAAATTTATGTTAGTCAATTTGTACAGTTTAACTAAAATAATGACTACATGGGTATAACAATCTGTCAATTTATGTATTTTTGTTACCCTTCTTTTGTCCATAGCTACGTTACGAATATACTCTCTTTTTGTAATTTAATAGAGTTAAAAAGGAAAATTATATGACTTTTTTTAAGAAGAGCTTACACATATATACTTAATAGTGACAAATATGTATAATGGAAAATCAACTAATATGTTATCAATCGAACAAAGAATATCGGTAACCAATATGTTTGGCGCTTATGATTTACGAGCTTTAATATTAACATTTACTGAATTAGTAAAGTTTAAAGTTTTAAACTTATATTTACGTGTTCAATATTTCTCCACCGTTTTAACTTATAAACCAATGATACAAATTAATAAAATCATTTTAGAATGAATTGTTAATCTCAACCGTTAGAAAACTTTTATTCACAAAAGCTCCCATTAAAGTTTCATAATGTTCAAGAATACGAAAATTGCCATTCCCAAAACCCCCATACATGTTGCTATATAAGATTACCAACATATATCTACCAAACTTATTGGTGGTCAAAGAAATTCGTATCAACTATACTTAGTATGATAGTGGTAGTTTTTTATACCAACTATAATTAATACGGTATACGGTTTAGTAAAAAGTATCAATTCCAGTCCTATGAATACACTACTATTCTACTTATAAATTTACACATTTTGTCAACACTAAGACCTTACCTTTTGACCTTTGGTTGACAAACACCTATCTATCAAACCCCCTGATACCAATACGTCAAAGGTCATTTGGTGAAATGATGCAATTTGACAAGTTTATATATAGTTTATTTTTATTTAGCAAAAAAAAATATTTTTAATAAAATAATTGAGTAAATTACACGAATGACCTCTATGGTTTAACGTAGTCTACATGACTCATCTCTAACTTTTTTTTAACTTGTCGGTCCTCAAGTTTTAATCATATTACATGTTTGTTCTCATATTAACATTTCGTCCATTTTCACGTTTCAACCCCTCACATGTCTTGCATGCAAGGGTGCTTTTGTCCTTTCTAGTTAGACCATATTGTTGATACATTCTCGGTTCATCACATTGACAACATGATGGATGAACTTGGATATGTACAATGGCGGATCCTAAGAGGGGCTACAAGGAGGTCATGACCTCCTCGGTTTTCAAGTTTCTAACACCTTTATATATATATATATATATATATATATATATATATATATATATATATATATATATATATAATAATAAGTCAAATGTTTAGTTAATTAGCCAACCCCCACCTTTTGAGCTTGCCTTTACATGTAATATAACTTAAAAATACACTTAACCAATAATCTAAAACAATCATTCAAAAATTTCTTACTAAAAAAAAACTTATAGTATTGATAAAATCAAAAGAAACTGCATGGTATTAAGGACCTAATTAAATGTATTCTTAACTAAAGATTTGAGTTTAAAAACCATTAAGACCCAAAAAAGTTCTTTGCCAGAATGGTGAAAGGATTCACATTTCACCGAAAATAACACTGACACCCAATTGCATCTTTTCCATCGGTCTTTGTCGCTACTCGACAGACTGTCGCTTCTCCGTCATCGGACTCTTGCTTTTCCGTCGCCGCCTCTTGCTTCTCTGTCTCCAGATACTTTTCTCTGTCGACTATATCCACCTCTCCCACTCCGATCTCCTTTCCACAAGAGCAATATCTACTACTGGTAACTTTTTCTCTCTCTATCTCTTTCTTTCTCTTTCTTTCTTTCTATCACAATATGATATACCATCTAGACTCTAAAAGAACGACAAGTCTTACATATTAATTCATAACATTTTAGCTTTAATTTGTTACTTCTTGTTTTTACACAATTAGGCTGTAGGGAGTGGCTCGCACAACTCCCTCGTCGTGACCTTGCCATCAATCCTTTTCCAGGCGCCAAGCCCCTCGCTTCTTCCATGCTTGCTAGTAGCTTGACGACAGGAAAGAGAAAAAGGAGAAGAGAATAACAACAATGATTGTCCTTTTTTTTGTTTTTTTGTTTTTAAATCAAGTCTTTGAATTGCTTCTTTTCTAGAAGTTCGACCTTTGAGTACATTTATTTCTAAACATAAACTAATATCAGTATATACTGAGCATGGGAAAACCGACTTGGATAAGTACTTAGGGTGTGTTCGGTAAAAATAGTTGGTAGCAGGTGGCTTGTAACTTCTAGCTGGTAGCGTTTTGTTAAACACTACGTTAAGTAGCATTTATATTTGGAACGTTTTGTTTAAACTAAACGCTAGAAGCTTATAGTGTCAAACGAGACTTTTTGTTCAAAACGAAGCGTTTGTCAAACGCTAAAAGCTAGAAGTTCTCAAACGCTCTGTGTTGAACATGCCCTTAATGTCTCGCACCCAATCTAATATACAGTAGTTGAAATTGAATAGCCTCCAGCATGTACAAAAAAATTAAATTTGAATTGGCACGACGGTGTTACACTCACTATTGGATGAAGACCCATAAATAGTTAGGCATTAATATATACACATTATTGACGTTGACAAAGACCCACAAGTAGTTGAGCATAGGCTATGGGGAGTGGTTACTACCAACCCACAACGCCACGTCAGTTTCACTACCAACCCATTAGACATTGAAATGCTTACCACTACACAATATTCTTTTTTTGTTTTTGTTTTTGTTTTTTCATTTTTTTGTGATTAAATTAACTAAAAAACATAATTTTAAACATAATAAAATATTTTACATTACTTAAAACCCTATTATATAACTTAAATTTTAAACCTAAATTAATAAAAAAAAACATAAAAATTTAAACCTAAATTACTTAAAAAGCACAGATAATAATAATAATAATAATAATAATAATAATAATAATAATAATAATAATAATAATAATAATAATAAAGACTAGAGTGGAAGTTGTAAATTTTAAAAACCTATTTGAGAAAGAAATTAGGGGGTTTGCTTTGCTTTTAACCCAAACATAATAGGTCATAGTTTTGACAATTGTTGAAAGATGTGTTGTCTTCTTCACTTGTTCTACAGACGCATTTCATCTTCTTCACTTGAAGAGTTGCTATTTTCACATCAAGAAAGGGCTATTTTTTTAATTGCTTCCATGGAGTTCAAACGGTCAAAAAAGAAGCGAGCCAATAGGAAGCTCTGTCTTCTTCCATCTTCCAATTTGTCACACCTAGAACTACACTTGAGGCGGTATTCACGCGTATTTTGTCACAGCACCTCAGCGTCGCACATCTTCAAAGACGCCCATTCCGGGTAGCTTGATAGTGTTCATCGATTTCTTGAAGGGTCATGCTAAAAAAAACCCAATGGGGTTTTCTAATACATAGTTTTCCACACAATAAAAAATGTTTTTCTTTCTCCTTATTTTCCTCTCTCTCTTTGTCATATATATATATATATATATATATATATATATATATATGTATATATATATATATATATGTATGTATGTATGTATGTATGTATGTATGTATGTATGTATGTATGTACATACTAGGTGTGAAACCCATGTATTACATGAGTTTAATTAAAAAAAAACAAATATAAAATTTTAACAATTTGACAAGTTTGAATTTAAAAAAAAAATGAAAAAAATTTGAATTATTAAAATTAATGAGACTTTAATGTATTGAATACATTACATATATAAATTCTTTATAATAAATACTTTACATATATATTACCTTACACATTAAATGTGGAATTTTAATTTAAAAAAATAAAAAATACAATAAAATGACAAGTGGAAAATAAAAATTTTAAAAATTCTAAAAAATGTCATGTGTCCAAATGAATGAGAAGAAGACATGTGGCAAAAAAACTTTGTTTTATTATATATATATATATATATATATATATATATATATATATATATATATTATTTTTCATTACTATTTATTCTCTCTTATTTTAAATAGAAAATGCAAGCGGTTTTTTATAATTCATTTAGTATTTTTTCTAACCTTATTAACTGTTTACACTAATTCTCTAATTCAATTTAAATATAAAATCTTTATATTTTTTAGACTTAACAAAAAAAAAGAGTTTATTTGATAACCACTTTAGCCTTATTTATTGTAAATATAAAATCGGTTTTAGGCTAGTAGAGTTCGATTAAATCCGAACAAGTTTTTATCAGTTTTTTGCATCAGATATACGGATTTACAGTTTAACTATTAAACAAACAATTTTTTATGATACGAACGTGACGTCTAATACGAACGTGACGTCACGTGTGATATGAAAGGGTTTTTTCTTTTAAGAATCTTGTGGATGACTACAGTCTTATTTATTTATTTTTGCATCTAAATTTGTTTGCATGTACTCAAGAAATTATGGTTGTCACATGCGTAATTGTTATGGGTTACCATGTACATAATTTTCATGGGTTACCACGTGAACATGAGCAATCACAATATTCTAGTGACGGTCAACTTATTCCACTTAGTTCGATTGATATATTTTGGAGGAAACTTGAGATCTTGCCATGTTTTCCTATCAAAGATGAAGATATTGATTTTACAAACGAACTTGAAATGGTTAATCAAACATATCAAAAGCAGTCAAAATCTAGAAAACATACTCTTTATAAAAAGTTCAAGGAGTTTTTTTCACCATCAACAACCCCATTTTTTGAACCTGCTATTCATAAGTCCAATTGTGGGTGCCCATCTGAAGGATAAGTGGTTCGATAAAACCATCGTTGATCCACCTCCCCAACAACCACTTAGGCGAAGTTGTTCAACCAAAACTAAATTTGTCGATCCATAGGTTTTTTGCTACAAAGAACCAACACAACATAGTACCTATTTCGGGAATAAATCACTTCCATACATTGATCAATTTCAAAAGTTTTTTCATTCTTACCGCTTTGGTCATATCCGTCACCTTGGAATCAACACACGCATATTGCATGCAATCGGATTTGTCAATGGTGGCCATCGGGTAAAACTTACATTAAAGGAAGGGTACCCGATGCCTTCGATTACCACTATGTTGAATTATTTCAAGTATGATTATGCATCTGAATGGGCTAAACCACACGAAAGACAATGAGTATGTACATGAGCCATTTTAGTAGTGATTGTAACCATGATCAAGTTATATTAGATGACTGATAAACTACAAATTGTTTATGTGTTATATTGTTAAATATTTAAATTAGATTACGTGTAACAATTACAGTGACGATACTATCTTCAACAAATGTCAAAAAAACATTAAGAAAATGTATTCGAACAAAATGTCAAATAAACAAAAAGAATATTATATAATATAGAGAAAACTACAATAAAGTCTCTACATATTGGCCTCATAATCGATTTAGTCAATATATATATATATTTTTATTCAATTAAGTCCCAAATACCAGTAATCATATTCAATTTAACCCTTTGACCCTGTTATCTAACTTTCAAAAATTACATTTTTGGCCTAGATTTCAAAATTTATTATAAATTTGGTCCAAAACTTACACTTTTGGCCTAGATTTTAAATTTTGTTACAAATTTGGTCCAAACTTTACTCTTTTTGTCCAAATTTTAGAATTTTATTATGAATTCATCCTAACTTTAGTTTTCTTTACAACTTTTTTTCTCAAAGAATTGTTTCTAATATGTTTTTTCTTTATAAAATCATATTTATACAAAAAAAACTTATTTTCACTTAAAAATCTTATATTTTCTATATAAAAACTTATTTTCTATATTAAAATCTTATAAAGAAAAAACATATTTCAAACAATTTTTTGAGAAAAAAAGTTGTAAAAAAAATTAAAGTTAGAGTGAATTCATAATAAAATTCTAAAATTTGGGTAAAAAGGATAAATTTTGGAACAAATTTGTAATAAGATTTAAATTCTGGGCCAAAAATGTAAATTTTGGACCAAATTTATAATAAATTTTGAAATTTTGGTCAAAAATGTATCGTTTGAAAGTTGGATGACCTGTTGACCGGGCCAAATGGTTAAATTGAATACGATTACCGGTATTTGGGACTTAATTTAATAAAAAAAATATATATAGATGCTAAGTCGATTATGCGATCAAAATGTAGAAACTTTACTCAGTTTTCCCTATAATATATTTACATAAAATTATCATAATAGAAAAAATTTAAATAACAAATATATAAAAACTAATAAATGAAATAAAATCAATAACAAATAATAACAATTATAATCTAATTTCTGAAAAAAAAAAAAAACTAATGATTATAACTTGATTAGATGAAATGACATAAAGGTGAGTTGGTTTTTTTTTTTTTTTTCAATAAACCCCACTTGAAATACAAAACAATGTTGACAATGAACTTCATGGAGATGATAGTAGCAATAACGACGAAGAAAATCTCTTAGATAAAGTTGATGTAAAGTCACAAACATGAAAGACTTCCACTTGAACATTAACAAGAATGCTGAGTGGGTTAGAGAGTCATCTAACAGAAAGGTTAGCTGAAGGTATCGAAGAAAAAGATGTTGAAATACTTGATAATAGGGTTTTGTAGTCGGAGAGTTTAGTTGGAAAGGACAAAACTACCCCTGTGGTGCAAGGCACGTCAGAGGTTTAAACCGTGAAAACAGACATAATGCTAACACATGGAACAAACCCGTAACATAATTATAAGTTGAGGACCACTGAACTTAAAAGAAGAGTTAGGACCGAGACATGTAAAGTGCCCTAAACAATAAGGACCATTCGTGTAATTTACTCTAGAAGAATTTAAATAAGACTCATCTCATGCAACAGTTATACAATGTTTTCATAACCTTACATAATCTTTTCAAAGTATATATAATTTTTTGAAAAACACTTTACTACTCGAAGATAAAAAGAAACAACACTTTTTACTCTTTTTAGAGAGATGACGATGGAAGCAAACCTGCAAGCAGAAGGCAGTTGATATGGCTGAGGAGGATTCGGAGCCATGGGGCAATAAAAAGTGTCTCTCCAATTAGTCACAGGTGCAGAGTACAAGTCGAAATTGCTGTTGTAAAGGAACTTAGGCTTCCCACTGCCATCCCTTCTTCTGTACCACTCCTTCTTCACCTCATTATCCTGTTCAAAAAACCCTAAAACACCTTTTTTCATCTCCTCCAACATGCTATCAGGGATTCCATGATTCACCATCTGGAAAAACCCCCAACTCCCCAACGCATTCTTCACTTGCTCGACCACCTCCTTTCGCCGGATTGGATCTTCGTTGATTCCGTACAGATCGATGATCGGGAGATTTAGCTCTGGAGACGGTGGCTCGCCGGAGTTTGGGTTTTCACATGAAGGTACGATCAATATATGAGGAAGGGTGGTGATTCCGGCGTCTACAAGCCCTTTGACGCCGGATTTGGTTTCATCGAACGCTGTGAGCTCGGATTTCCGATCATAATTCTGAAGGGTTGTTTGTTTCATTCTGATTTGAGTATGAAAGTATGAAATGCATGTATGATATGAGTTCATAAATTAAATAGAGTTCGAGATTGCGTTTATGTTTATGTTTTATTCTGATTTGTAGTCGAGATTTTGTTTTCATATATTCAAATGGTAAGTTATGAAGTTATTATTTTTATCTTAAAAAAGAATTACAAAAATTAGTTTTCTATTTAATCTAATGAACTTAGTATGTTAATCGTTTAAGCACCTTTCTTTACTAAAACCTACTTAACAAAATTTGTAAACATTAATACTAGAAGTTTTCATTTTAAACCAATTACAAGCCGAAAAAGAAAATATTGCAATTTTTGGATATGAGTTCATAAAATGGAGTTCGAGATTACGTTTATGTTTTTCTAATCCATTCTTTGGTATATGACGTATATGGTTTATTATTATATTATTAGAGAAAATTACAAATATATGTTAATCTTTTAATTACTTTGTGAAAAATAGTAAAAAAAAAAATAAAAATAAATAAATAAATAAAAAAAATAAAAAACCAAAATTACAAATATAGTCTTGAAAATCCCAGATGGAGTAAGCCCATTTGCGAACGTATAAATCGCTAAAGAACATTCATGCTTTAGCGACTTCTATGTTTGCAGATGTTTTTTTTTTTAATTTTTTTTAAATTTTTTCCATATAAATACCTGCAATATCTGATTAAAATCGCAGATGAACTAAGTTCATCTGCAAGTTCCTCTCCATTCCACCTGAGATTTTGCGTTTTTTTTACTACGAAATAGATATGGTTTTACTACGAAACAACCTTATTATATATAAAGTTTTGCAAAAAATTATCACTTTAATTGTTAATTTTTATAAAATTTCTTTAAAATCTTTCTAATAAAATAAATGAATATTTAGTTTGCGTTGTAACTGGTGGGAGGTAGAAAATTGTGGAAACAAATCTTGAATACGTATATCTACAGTGGCATATTTTTGAATTTGCTTTAATATTTTTTCATTATATTAGTTATAGTGATTTTGTATCTTTGATGAGAATGAAAACATGTTTGTTAGACAAATATAAAATTAGTCTTCGTTTCTCTCATACTGAATTGAATCGTTATATAACCATAATTGAAGATATGAATGTTAGAATGTTGATCAACGTAATCAAATCGATTAGAGGAAGGGATGTGCAAGTCTTTGTAGTGACTAATGAAGGTGATGCGGTTACGGAGGGTGGCGAGAGTGGAAATGAGCTGGTTGCTAACTTTTGCAGCAATAAAGGGAGCAACAATCCAATAAGTACTTTCATGACTCCTAGTGTACCTCAGTTTCATAGTGTTACTAAAAATGTTAATGTGAGGTATTCACCTATTCACTATGTGGATCCTAAAATTACAAATACATTAGTGATGATAATGTTGGTACATATCTTAATGACGTGGGTGGTTGTTGTGTTCCCCAACAAGAAGTTAAAGTTATGAATACAGTTGTAGTAGATAATAGTAAAAGAAAAAAAAATATGATTCAGAAAGATGAAAATGTACATGGTTTACGTGGATTTTGTTGATGTTGCTGATGTAGCTTTAGATATAACCGACTTAGAAAGCAATTCTGATGAACATGAGTTGGGTGATGAATGTAAAGTTAAGTTTCTCGATAACCTTTTTTACGGTATGCCCCCTGTACCAGCATTCCAATTAATGCTTGTTAAAGATATCCCATCACAAATGGTAGACATCAATCATCAAAAGATTGAATATTTTGGTATATTTAAGAACAAAGACCTTCTAAAACGGGCGATTGGAAAAACAAAATGTCTTCAAGAAGGTTTTCAGATGAAGACAAGGAGATCAACCAAATCAAGGTATGAGGTTGTGTGTGTTGGGAAAATTGTTCTTGGTTACTAAGAGCAAAAGGAATTAATAATTCTGATGGACTTCTCCAAATGAATAAATTTGTTGATGTACACACATGTTCTTCAACAATGTTGCAACCCAATCATCGACAAGCAAATAAACATGTTTTAGGTGAATATATTGTTGATGTTTTGACTGAAGATTACAGTAGAGTATATAGAGGACAATATATTATTAATGATATGAATGCTAAATTGAAAATCAATATCTCATACCATCAGGCTTAGCGTGCGAAGAAATATGCTCTGTTGTTGTTAAGAGGTACGAAAAACATTCTTTTACCAAACTTCCGACTTATTTCCACAATTTGGTCAAACATAATCCCGGCAAGGTGACACATATTCAAACAGATGGTGATGATTGGTATGAGTTCTTGTATGTCGCACTTAGTTGCTCATTTCATATTACTATATTTATTATTTTTATTTTTATTTTGGTGTACCTAACTATAATCAATTTATTTGAATAAATATACAATATATTGTAGGTACGTGCTTTTGTCAATTGTTGTAACCTGACCCTTGTAGTAGATGGAGCCCGCCTAAAGGGCGAGTTCAAAGGTACCATGTTACTTATTGTTACTAAGGATAAACAAAACCAAATATTATCGGTTGCATATTGTATATGCAAAAATGAGTGTACAAATTCTTAGATATGGTTTTTGTCACACCCCAAAACCGGAACGGCGGAAACGTTCGGGGGCGGAGGACGTCATGTTTAGTATCACAAGACATGCATCATAGTAATCAAAGTAATAAAAAGCCATTTCATTAGACAGAAAGTCTTTACAAAGTATGTGGTTCACAAAACATAGACTACGTAGCAAATAACAAAATAAGACATGAAGCTATACTGCTCCATCTTCTAAATCCCAGTGTGCATACCTGTCTATTGGTCTCCTGAGAATGCAAGTTATTTTGAATGCGTAGATCAACATTTAAGCTGGTGAGTTCATAAGATTTTAGTGATGTGAGTAAGTTGTAGAAAACTTAGTAAGTTGTAGTAAATTGTATGTTGTGTTTAGAAAAGTTTGCTTGTTCCTCCAGAATATCCTATATTTCCTGCTTTGATGAAAGATAAGTAAAAATGACTCTACAAGCCTTTCTATGAGTACTAAATGGATACAAATTATATAAAAATCAGAGTAAACAAACAATCGATTGTGTGTGTAACACCCCAAAATCACCGATTAAAAATTTCATTTTTAATTTAGATGAAAATATAAAACATCATTACAAATATTCATGATAAAAATCCATGTCTGAAAAACCGGTGACATCATAATCAGAATTCAGAGTACATCCCAGAAAATCTACAATGCGGAAAACAAAAGGCGTATGTGTGATGTGCTGCTACCGCGCCGGCTCCTTTCCCTTAGCTAAGGAAGTACCTGAAACAACAACTGAAAAACGTAAGCACAAAGCTTAGTGAGTTCCCCCACAATACCCCATACCATGCAAGCATATAACAACAACATTCAACTATGAGATACGGGCCCTTGCCCACACTCGTGAAGATACGGGCCCTGCCCACACTTCGCTTTCTGGGAGATATGGGCCATGCCCACACTCGGGAAGTTACGGGCCTTGCCCACACTTCGCTATCTGGGAGATACGGGCCATGCCCACACTCGGGAAGATACGGGCCTTGCCCACACTTCGCTATCTGGGAGATACGGGCCTAGCCCACACTCCACTCTCGGAGAGATACGGGCCTAGCCCACACTCAACCGCCAACTCATATCGTACAATTATCACACAGACAACAAGTACAGATAGCTCTATCCTACTAGCATATATCGCAATCACTCAATTAAGAGATACGGGCTCGACCCACACTCTAATACTAACGTCTCGTCTATACGGGCTGGCCTTGGTGCCTTAGACCCGTTACTACTGAAAGGAAACTTACCTCGAAATAGCTGCTGGTGTGTGTGGGAACTTACTGTCTGCTGCTGTTGCTACTCCGGAAATCCTCCGGCTGTAATTCCCACAACATACTCAATCAATCAATATTTACTGCCTTTTTGGGTGAAATGACCCTTTTACCCCTGACCATGCCCTAAGTCAAAGTTAGAGTCAACTTCCAGTTGACCCGACTCGTCGAGTTGGCTATCCAACTCGTCGAGTCTATGTCCAAATGACTATCTAGGATTCTGTTTCTACTCGTCAAGTTAGGCGTTGACTCGACGAGTTCTCCATCCAAACTGATGTTCAAGTCCTTCATCCTACTCGCCAAGTTGTATGAACAACTCGACGAGTTCATCTTCATCCGATGAACACTTATGTTGCGACTCACCGAGTTGTATGAACAACTCGCCGAGTCTGATCTTGATCTAAGGAGATTGCCTTGAACTCGCCGAGTCGGGGCATCGACTCGCCGAGTTCCATTATGGGTGAGTTTTGGCTTCCAACTCACCGAGTCCCTCCTGGACTCACCTCACGACTCGACATAACAAAAAGGGGGCAAACCCGGAGACTCGCGACTGGACTCGCCGAGTCAGATGAGCGACTCGTTGAGTTCATTCCATTCAAGAGCTAAAAATGCGATTTTGCTCGAATCCAATCCATGCCATTTGTAGATCTGGGCTCCTAGAGCATGAATAACATGTAAAGTTTCCAACTTTATGTGTAACTATCCATCTATGGGGCTTTTAGGGTTTGAAATGCACCAAAAGAGTAGATCTAAGGTTTATGTGCAATATGGGCTCATAAAGGTAGTGGATCTGAGCTCCTGGAGCTCAACTATGCTTGGATCAAGAGACCAATCAACTTATTTCGGAACATTATGCACATACAAGCTTGGGGAATGGCTCAAGAATGTCTTAAATGAAGCAATAAGCATCGAAACAAGGGAAAATGAGATATACCTCAATGGAACTGCTGAGAGAACACAATGGTGCTTGGATGGCTTCCCCTTCTTCTGGAGCTACTTCCCTCTTCTTCAAAACCTTCAAAAACACCAACAATTGCTTCAACTCTTCAAAGAACAAGCTTAAACGAGGGTTAGGAGCTCTGGGTGTGAATGGGGGCTGGCTTGGGGTGGATATGTTGCTTAAATAGGGTGCAAACCCCTGAAAAAACTTAGGGTTTCATCCAACAGAGG